AATGATCCAATTTTATTTTCATACAAAATCTTTTGCTTCATCAGTGTTCAATACAAGCACTGTTTTTTTTCTGCAATAATACACTATGGGAGTTGTGAAAAGCAAATGTTTCTAAAGGTGTGCCTTTATAGCCCTGTTATATCTTAGATATGAGTTGTTTTGTTTTTTTTTAGGGTAGCTGGACTTCAGCTGAACTATGATTTGCTTGTATCTTGGCAAACTGCAGTTTCAAAACAGTTTCCTCTACACGGTCACCCTTGAAGTAAGGTTGATGTTACCAGGCATAATGTCAGATACTTCAAAAGATGATGGACCGTGCGTCATCCGTGCTGGGTTTCCGGAGTGTTCTTGTGCTGATAATGTTCATAGCTTCTGAATCCAGCCGTTGTTGGACTCTTTATCAGATTAGAACATGAATTCACCAGTTCCTCCCACACTCTCTGTCTCTGTGATTGCGTGGAGACGTTCAGGCAAACGCAATCATATACGCAAGCACAGTTGAAGGGTCCATGATATGTTTGTCCAATTAGCCTGGCAACAAAGGATCATTACCTTGACACAGCAGTCTATTAGAAGCTGATTAAAAGAAGATGTCAGTTCCTATGCTGAGCATAATGCGTGGGACCGATACAGATCTGACTCTCTCAGCAGGCTTGTCCTTTCTTACCCACGCTGCCCGTCATGATCACCCTTTCATGTTTGTTTTGTTCTTTTTCTCTTTGTCTTTTGCTCTTTTATTCCCTTTGCTACTTTCTGCTGGATATGTGTTTATAATAATGCAGTCGCCTTTGTGTTGAAACTCTTGCTGTGTGGCACTCACAGTCTCTGTGGGTAAAGGCTTTGAAAATCGCTTAAGCCAAAAGACCACTGAGCTCTTACAGCAATGATCCATCAAAAAGGCCTCCACAAAATACTCAGGTCTTTGCTAGCTAACTAACTAACTAACTAAAACTCAAAAATATGTCTATTAACCTACCCACCAAGTATCCATCCATAACATGCATATATCCATTAAACTGTCAATTTTTCACCCACCAGTTCATCTACCCGTCCGTCCGTCCATTATTCACCCACCAGTTCATCCATCCATCCATCCATCCATCCATCCATCCATCCATCCATCCATCCATCCATCCATCCATCCATCCATCCATCCATCATCCATCCACCCATCTATCCATTAATCACCCACCAGTTTATTCATCATTACATGCAGCCATCCTTCCTTAACATGTCCGTCCATCCATCCATTATTCACCCTCCATTTCATCTGTGCATCATCCACCAATCCATCCATGTGTCCTTGACATGCATCCACCAGTCCATCACATTCTTCCTTCCATCTGTCAATTGCATCCATCCATCCATCTATCTATCCATCACATGCATTTGTCACACGCATCCATCAAATGCAACCATAACATGACATTTATCTATTTTTAGCATTGTTATAAAATTTTAATATTTCAAACATAAGTCAAAATTTAGTGGCCAAGGTCAACAAAATAAACTTGACCACTAAAACGAAGGTTCTACTATTTTTATCCCTGGTTGAAAACCCATGATTTGGACAGTTTTTAGTGTTTTTGAGAAAGATCCTTAAACTGAGGATTATGTGAGGGTTGTCCTTGCAATTGGTGAATTTTAAATGGTCAAATAGTGTACAAACTGCCCTATTTAGAAGTCTGACTGTGGCTCTGCTGAAGCTCCGCCTCTCAGGGGTCTTTAGCTAATCATAGACCAATCAGTGTTATTATTTAGTCATTTGTGCAAGGCTACCACATCGATCCATTCACAACAAGGACTTACATTATAGTACTTCCCAATAGGGTGATGAGGAGGCGACTGTGTGTGTGTGTGTATGTGGAGGGACACAACTGCTGGTTTGCATTATTTCCCGCTGTTCTGCAACATAAATTTTTAAAAGCAGCATCCAGCAAAGATTGTTTAAATCGAATAATACATCGATCCAGGGTACACCCGTGCCTGGCAAGGCATAGTTAAATCTACTGAGTGAAAATAAATAAAGTCTTGACCTTGTAATAGGTTATTATTATTGAAATTCCAAAGTCAACTCAACGTTAAATTAAAATTCAATAAAGACCTTTATTGGTATTTCAAAGCAATGTTTGTAACCCCCTAGGCATTATTTATATTTAGTTGTTTTGCTCATGTTGGCATGCTTTCAATTTGCAGCTGCATTTTTCTTCTACTAGCAATGAACAATGCTGTGAGCTGTGATATTTGTCAGCGGAGACTGATCTACAGTAACTAGCTCAATAATACCAATTAATAATTTTATAGTTGGATATTATGTATTATATTTTGTACTTACATTTATTTTATGAGAAGAGAATGATGAGAACATACTGGGCCACTAAAACCAAATTTGCTCAAGTGTTATCTATGCAGGCTCCGCTATATGGTATCAGCTAATCGAATCCCCACTAAAGGTTTAAATGGCACTCTATTGCCATGAATCAGCCGGCTGACAGCATACTGAAGTGATGATTGTATGTCTGTTTGCATGATGTTTATTGCACACACAGAGATGATTGATTCACACTTGTATTGTATTAAAAATTACTATGGATGAATATGCATTATGTCTGCAAAGCTGATGAAGAAGTTGATGAATGATCCATTGGGAATGTAGTTTGATTCCTGAATGGAAATACAGGCACCTGCATGTGACAGAAGAAATAATGTACACAAAACCATGTTTGCTTTTTATTCAAAACGCTTGATATTATAGGAGATTCCACTTTCCCTTTTTGCCCTTATGTCACAGAGATGTTTGGTCTTAACAAAATAAGTCCAGCATGATCAGTAGAAGCCATTCAGTTGATCATGACAGGGAGAAGTGCTGAAATTGAAATTGTTTTTCAGCAGCAGTACCTTAGAGAGCAGCATCCCATATGGCCATTGCTGTCGAGGAAGTTGATGGTACCACTGTCATGCCAGTTGAAGCAGAAATGCAAGCTGTAATGGTACTAAAAGAAGATCAAGTTATATGCCTTAAGGCCTCACTGACACTGTTGCCACTCCTCGAATCTCATAAAGTGGTCACTGATTGAAAGAATGCCTAGTTATTGAGCTGGCACTCTGTTCTATGTTCTATGTGATACTTTTGAGAGAAATAGAAAAAAAAACAACAACTGGTTAAAAGAGGTCAAAAATATAAAAAAAAGGTAGAATCATTTTAAAAGTATAGCCAATTTTGAGTTTTTTGTTTTTTTTTATAAATATGTTGTATCATAAAACAAAAACATCATACTTCTCTATCAACAATGTTCAGTCTTTTTAAATGAAAAATGTGGAGTGGAATCTGGTATATATGGCATTCTCATTATTGTAGTTATGGCATTTTGGAAGGAGATAGAGAGATAGGGGTAAAGGAAGCTTGAAAACAGCCGTGGGGCTCCTTTTCGTGCAAACCAAGTTGAATAGAGAAACCAGCCTTTGAGAGATGTTTAAATCCACATGCTGCCACATGTGAGCATTTACGGTACAATCATTTATTAATGCAGAGACGTGGGAGCACATTGGTAATTTTTTGTACATTCTGACATCCATATTCTTGCATTCTCTACAAGACAGAAAAGCTTTCATTCTGAAAAACAAGAGCATGCAAATGTAACTATCAATCCATCCTTCATACATGTGAAACTCACAGTTCTTTTGATTACCAATGCTCAATCTGCTAAAGGCTGACTGTGTTTCTGTAACTGTAGGCACACCAGGGGCATCTAAATGGAATGTCAAGTCTGACACGAAGACTACGAGAGGAAAAGCGGATCAGTTTAGCAACAGTTACTTTAATTTTCAATATACAAAACAAAAGTGGAAACTCTAAAATGGTAAAGTAAGCACAGCAGTGTGCTGGAGCACAGTCAAAACCTGACAGTGAGCAAACTGAACTGAGGACAGTATATAGAGTGAAATTAATGAAAAAAACAAGGATCAGGTGTGTGAAATCAATGAAACGTACTTGGTTACCATCATGACCAATGAAACATATTATAAGAAACATTTAAAAATAAATGTATACATTTACACAACAACGATGAGAAAAAAAGACGGGAAAGTTTCTCCTTTAAGGTTTTTTTTTTTTTTTTTTTTTTTTTTTTTGTGTACACCGTTCACTCTGATCCGTGAAAAAGACTAAACACGTTATATAATGCATGTCAGGCAAATAGTTGCCAATGTCACTGAAGAAGACTTGACAAGGAATATGCATGCACATGATGTCACTGTTTTCACAAATTTACATTTTTGTTGTTTACATGGGGAACGTTTACATTGTTTTCAGTCCCCCAAAACGGCGTTGTCATCTACATAAATAGCCAAAAAACAAAACAAAAAAAAAAACATAAAACTTTTCCTTTTTTATTTGAAAATGGTGTGTTGTGTAAACAGCCCCTAAAAGTCCATGAAAATGAAACTAGTGACACCAGCGGTCCTCTGGGAGACAGCGTGCCTCTTCGCTTGTTATCATTCAGATGCTGATGTTTTGCCTTAAAGGGATACTCCACTTTTTTTGGATATTGGCTCATTTTACAACTCCCCCAGAGTTAAACCGTTGCATTTTACCGTTTTCGAATCCATTCAGTCGATTTTCTGATATTTAGAAGAATATCATTAACCTGACAGTTTCTGGTCTCATTGACTACCATAGTATATATTTTTATTCCTGCTATGGAAGTCAATGAGACCAGAAACTGTCTGGTTACTGATATTCTTCTAAATATCAGAAAATCGGCTGAATGGATTCGAAAACGGTAAAACTCAACTGTTTAACTCTGAGGTAGTTGTAACATGAGCCTATTTAAAAAGAAAAAAAAGTGGAGTATCCCTTTAAACTCAGGATATTTACAGTTGAAAAATACTGATTGTTTATTCAGAAAAACAATCAATTAAAAACATAGATATGTTAAACAATCATATATTTGCATGCATATCACAAACTCTTTCTCTCTCTTTTTCTCTCTCTCCCTCAGGATGGCATGGGAAATCTCCGCATAACCAAAGAGGGCATCAGATTAGAGGGTGTGTCGGAGTTCCTTCTACCACTTTATGTGAAAGAGATCAAATCCCGACGGGTAAGAATTTCGTTTTTTCTATACAACAGGCAAATAGGCAAATAATGGTGTAAACTTTTATATTTTTTTATTTGTTATATGAGTACTTTCTCAGTTTTGTATTTCAAACAAGTGCCACTTTATTACATACACAGGTAATGACTGATTAAAATATTCGGATGGTACTACAAATGATTTTCACTACCATGGTACCATGTCACAGTAATACTATAGTACATTTTTTTTAGTTGGTGTCAGCAAACTAAGTGATTAGGGTAGTGGGATCTGGCTTTGGACGAGGATTTTGCTCCTGTTCTCTTCACAGGTGCAGTAGGTCACACTGAAAGAGCTGCTGCTGAATCCAAGTTAAGCAACTCAAACAACCTGCTGAACTTTGCCTGCTAAATCCCTCAGTGAAGCTGTTTCACTCGGTGCTGCCATTTAGAGAGTGAATTTACTGGTTGACGTCTTGTAGCACAGGCTTAGCTCATACATTCAGCTTTATGTTACACTTGATGTGACAAGGGCTATTATTTAATGGTTAAATTGATGATTTAAATCCTTCAAAATTATTTAGTTCCATTTTTAGGTTTATAAAACTTAATTCTGACTTATCACTTTGCACATTTTCCTTGTATGTTGTGTTTATGTATATACCGTGTTTGTGTATACTATATATACTGTACTATAGTATCACCATTGTCCTTGGGTTACAAGCACCAAGTCCAAACCTATTTATTTAAACCCACAATGTAAAATCAAATTTAGCATTTTAATCAACAGTACATTTTTTGTTAACCTTTTACTATGTCTTGGAGTATCGCAATAATATCGTTTCTTGAGTTCAGTATCGTGATATGTATCGAATCGTGACGTGAGGGTATCGTTACACCACTAATATATATATATATATATATATATATATATATATATATATATGTGTATATGTATATTTGGGCACAGGTTAAATGTTTATCAATGGACATTTGTTTGGCTAAATGGAGTCAAGTTATTTGCGGCAAGCTAGAAAAATAGCCATTAGCATTTTTGCTTCCCATTTGCAGTTTACCACGGTATAAGTTACACAAATTAAGGACATTAATACAACATCTACGCTCTTCATCAAAAGCCGACACACCCACCGTGCTGACATGGCATGTAAATTGTGAGGGTTTCAGACATCACTGGTCTGTCATTCCAGGTACCAGCTGTGATGCTGGAGTGAGCGTGGTAGGGATTCTAGCTTGAACTCTTGATATATGTGAAAGGACAAAGTGTATATCACTAAGATGAATAGGACAAGCACACCCTCACACATTCTTTGTCAAGCACACATACAGAGAAGTACACAGGGCAGGGTGCTTCCCCAAGCTCCTGCTGTACGCATGCATCATGTTCTGGTTCATTTGTATTAGGCCTCTGTTGACCTTTAGCACCCAATTGTAAATACAGCGTTTTTGATTTATATCTCTCCTTCTCTTTCACTCTGTTTTTTGGTGTGTCTGACACTTTAACTCACTATCTATCTATCTATCTATCTATCTATCTATCTATCTATCTATCTATCTATCTATCTATCTATCTATCTATCTATCTATCTATCTATCTATCTATCTATCTAAATATATTTAGTGAATATTATGTCAACAAATATTTGAACATGATTTAATTACAATAACATATTAAATTATTAACATTTACTCTACAGTTGCATTGTTTGATATATGTACTTATCCTATATTTATTTCAGCATTTAACAAACACAGTGTTGTTATAGTTGTTATTCACGTCATGTTGAGGAGAAGCAAATTGTAATATTACTTTTATGTTGTGCATGTATAAATGATTAATCACATATTTATAGGATGCGTTCGGGTGAGTTAATTAAGCCGACTGCTGCGTTTGAGTTTACTAGTGTTCATTCACTGTTTCGCTTCAGCTCGTGCAGCTCAAGCAGGTCAATCCCCGTCACACTGAATAAAATTATCTGAAACAAGCATAATATTTCCCAAAAAGTGCATTATTACTGTAGTAACCTGTGCTGTTATGTTTTATATCCTTGAATTTAGGGTGCACATTTTCCATCTTATCTTCGTTACAAAATCAAGAAGCCATTTTTTATTGAAAACCTTTTGACCACAACCTTAGCCATGTTTTCTTTTTTTTTTTTTTTTTTTTCCAGCAGCAGCTGCTTCAGCTTTTTAACCTGTCCCATGTTAAGGAACATTGTACAAAACATGGGTTAACATAGTCCTTTCAACAGATGTGGTACTTGGCACACTAGTAAAACTGAAATTAATAGAGGCACAGCAGTCTCCATCGTTTAGTCTATAATGATACACTGTGCAGAAACAATGACCACTGAGCCTGTTTGGAGTGCATGTTCATTAATAATGATAAACCCTTTTACCACTGCTCAGATAAACTTATAAAGAAGCCTTGTCCCTGAGCCAATAAATCAAAGTGCCTAATGTGTTAGCCGCAGTGATTAGCATTAAAGAACACAAACAAAGCGCAGGCTTTCTGCTAGCCCGCTGATGGCACTCCTGATTAGCCTCAATAATCACCAGCGCACATCAAAGCGTGTTGAGGGGCCTTTGCATTTCCCCTCAGCACCCCACCGAGAACGCAGCGTTGCAAATCCCAACACACCCTCGCAGCGACATGGAGGCCATTTTGGATCATTTGCCTCAGATGACTGTGAGGGTGCGACAATGCAAATTATAATTAATCCACAAAGTGTAGAAAGCCAGAAGCTAGGGTTCGGGGGATGCAGCATGGTGGTCTTGGTCTTGGAGGAGAGCCTTGAGCTGTAAAGCTGAGTACTGCAGACAAGCTGTTTTGGCGTCTTCTACAAAGAGGGATTGTGCCATAGCCTGAATTGACACCCTGCTTCTAAGGGCCACCAATGATATGTGACACAGGCACTCATGAAAGAGTGGCCAAAAAAGGAAACGTGAAAGGAAAGGTGCTTGAGAAGGATGAATAAAGATTCAGAGCATGAGGGGCAGCAGGAGAAGTGAAGGCATGTAGCCACCAGTAAAAAAAAGAGGCCTTCAAACATACACATATGGTGACATTGATGGGCTGACAAACTGACAAATATCCGGCACTATCATTTGAATTTGAATCAGACTTTATTTAGAATTGTATTTTAGAATTGTAAATGGGGGCTAAGCACAGAATCCTGGTAGGCACCTATTGTTTATTGGTGCGTCTCATCAGCTCCCTAGGTCTAGTATCCATACAGTTTATTTTTATACACAAATTCTCGAATTTGCAAACACTTTTGACATTTCGTCTACATCCAATGCACATGGCACCCTTTAGCGTCAATATGAGGCGCAGATATATATGGGATAGAAGGTATCTCCTAGTGGTCTAACCCTAACCCTAACCCTAACCCTACCCCAGACCTAAACCTACCATAACTGAAGTGTGTTATATTGACGCTAAAGGGTGCCATGACATCTTTTAGTGTCAAAAGCTTCTCTATATGACGCCCTAGGATGAAAATATGTTAGTTATGCTGAAATATAATTAAATACCATTTCCTTTAAAAAAAATAAATAAATAAATAAAACATTTATAACGAATGAATATGTGTGGTGAGTTTATTTATGTTTCGCGCTTCAAAACTTACGGTAGGAAACATATGCCCCATCCACGCTACTGCGTTTTCGTTTAAAAACGGAGAATTAAAACGAATACGATCTCCGTCCACACCAGCCTTTTTTTCTGCGTATTAGAAATGATCTCCACCCACATTAAAACATTAAAATTAAAACTCCGTCCACCGTTTTGTCTCGTCCACACTAAAACGCCCTCTGGAGTTTCAAAACGAAAAACGGAGCTGCAGCGTTTCTAAACTTCTCCGTTTTAGGTCTTCGTTTTTCCCGTTTTAGTCTGGAAGGGAGGTGCAAACGTAGCAAAAGGTCTCCATTTTTAAACGAAAACGCAGTAGTGTGGATGGGGCCATAGTGAGCATCGATTGATTTTGGGTTTTTTAGGGAGAAAACGTTTCAGTGCACTGGATGGATTTTGCGATTGAGACACCGCTTAAATCAGCCGACTCACTGATCAGTGCCCTGACAGTAGGGATTCACAGAGACTGTTAGTTTTCTTCTTCTTTTTCTGCTCTTGAAGACGAAAGTGAAATTTGGCACACAGATGGAGGACATTCTGACCAATAACCACAGCAAATGTGATGCTTCTATTGCCACCAATTATCCAAACTAGAAGGGCTTTCCTCTAATTCATCGGCTACGATTTGATTGCACAAATGATGTCCTTTTCTGTCGTGAAAATCTTTTTTTTTTTTTTTTTGACATGGCTAAGACTGTCATGTAATAATGGTCATATGGTCTTTAATCTAAAGGTGGATCATTTATATTGCGGGTTATGGGTCTCAAAGTGTCCTTATGATCTATTTTAGTCTTCCTGGATTTGGGTGTTCTTGGATGGCCATGTAATGATGAAATTGCATTCACCACATGGCAAAATAAAAGGTTTAACTTATTGTTGGCCCTGTCCTGAATTGCCTACTGGAAATTAGTGAGACTTATGTGTAAAGTTTGTGTCCAACATTACTGGGAATCCGGCACTGATGGCTTCACAAAAATGCAGTCTGTTGTCCAACATTCCAAGCGGTATTACTGTATTATTATTAGTGTTACCGTTCAAAAATTTGGGGTTTGTACGATTTCTCTTATCTGACCAGGCTCTATTTATTTAATCCAAAATACAGTAAAAAGAATACTATTGTGAAATAATATTTCATTTTCAAGTAACTGTTTATTTATTTATTTATTTATTGTATTATATTTTAAAATATGATTTATTCCTGTGATGGCAAAGCTGAATTTTCAGCAGCCATTACTTTCTTCAGTGTCACATGATCCTTAAAAAATCATTCATGCTAAAAATGTTGTTCAGGATTTATTGCTCAGTGTATGTTGCTCAACCTATTTTTATATATTATCATTATCGATGTTGAAAACAGGTGTGCTTCTTAATATTGT